CCCGCCGCCATCGCCGCTGACACCGGGACCGCGCGACAGGCGCGCTTGGCGGCACCGTGGCAACCGCGGTGCACAGACACCCGGAGGGAGTAGGACTCGGGGCTGGGGCCGGGTATGCTTTACGGCACTGCCGGGCGATGAAGCATCCCGGGCTAGGGAACTAACGACCACCACGGTGGGAACGGAAGGACGACGGGGTCGGGCAGGCTTGCTTTACGGCACGGCGGGGTGACGGAGTGGCTCCGACAGCCGTGCCGACTTGGGCAGGGAGCTTTTGCGACAGTGGAAGAAACGACGGCCGCAGGCATCTTTACGACGCAGGGGGTGCTGGCCCCCACTTCCAGCTTTGCGACAGCCGCACCGACGACCCCGCCCTCGCCGAGGCGGGCGACACCTTGAAGTGTTCGCTTTACGGCAAAAGGGGGGTCTTCCCTTCGAGCTCGCACGCTTTGGAGCGGGGTGAGCGGCGTCCGTAGGATTCAGAGGCGGGAGCCGGTAGCTCTATAAATGAAAACCTCTGCCCTGCGCACCACCGAGATCGGCTGTGTTTCGCGACACTGTCGCAACCCCTCCACTTTGTATCACACCTCTCGTGAGAGGCAAAGCGGGCCGACTTTTGGGGGTGGGGGATGGGATAAAAGGGCTCGCGATATTTCTAAATAAGCCCACCTTGAACTCCAATCCAGACAAACCCTTAAATCTTAAAGCCACGGATAGAGGCCCAGTGAAACCCCGGCAGGTGGTTTCCAGCAACGGCGCTGACGGTCTCCCCCCAAAACCCCCGCGCTGTGAACAAGCTCCCAGCCCAACTCTCCGAGCTCGCGCCGAGGTGGGAGGACTGTGACGTCACAAACGGGGCTTCTCGCCCCGTGACAAGGGCCCCTGGTTGTGATTGGATAATTCGGATGAGGGCGGTGATGGGGAAGAAGGGCGGGAACAAATCCCGGAGACAAAGAAAGCTGGCCTTTGGGTGGGACAGAAAAGGAGGGGCGACCGGAGGGGCCCCTAGCACGAGGTCCCTATATAAAGCTTGATTCCGGGGCCGCGGCTCTAGGGAGCGGAGCGGAAGGGGACCCGGGCCTCCGCCCGAGCGCCCCCAGCCCGCCGCGGTGGGGGCGGGGCTTCGGGGCGGGGCTATGTGCCGCCAGGAGGCGGGGCGGGGCAGCTGAGAGTGGCCCCCGGGTGGGGCCATGGAAAAGCAGGAGGCTCCGGGGGCTGCTGGCGGCCTCAGTGGGGAATCCCCGGGAGGGGCAGCCAAGGGTGTGCCAGGAGGAATCGGAGGAGTCGAGGCACACGCCGGGCCGCCCTCCGGTGTCATCCTGTTTCACGGTTCTGGGACCTCCCTGCACTCTGGGGGAGTCGTAACTTGCTGTCCTGGTTCTAGCCGACCCTCCGGGGGGGCAGCAGTCCTCGGTTCCGGGCCCTACCAGCACCCTGCGAGGGTTGCAGACCTCAGCGCTGGGTCCGGCACATACCCTGACGGATTAAATGCCCCCTTCCCTGGAACCAGTGTATGCAGGACCTGCCGGCCCCGGTCCGGGTGTTCTGGGGTGTTCAACTCGGAATGCAGTCCACCGCGCTCCGAGTCAACTCTCTTGCACTCCCACAAACCTTGTGAGGACCGGCCCCGCAGCATCCTAAAAACCAGCACCTCCATCTTGATGCAGAAATCCCCCAGGGCAGAGAAGTAAGGAGTCCAGCTCAGCGGGGACCCGGCGCGGAGCGGGGAGGGAGGGGTTCCGGACACTGACGGGGGCGGAGCTAGGGGAAAGGGGTGGAGTCCTAAGAACTGTGAAGTGTGAGCGGCTGAGGGCAATTGCGTGGGAAATCTGAGGTCCCAGGCCTTGGGGAGAGCAGCAGGTACCAGGTAAGTGCTGGTTCCACAGTGCGTGATAATCGTTAGGTGCAACCCCCATCCTCAGGCTCCTCTGCCCCTGACACGACGAGAGGGTACCAGAAAAAGGTTTTGAGTGACTGAAAGAATGAGGGAGAGCTGCCACGAGGAGGTCGCTGGGAGGTTTCCTCCCCCTTTCCTGTGTCCTTCCCCCTCCTCCAGGAAGAAGTCCCAGCGGTGGGATGAAATGAATATCCTGGCCACCTACCACCCCGCTGGCAAGGATTATGGATTTATGAAGGTGGATGAGCCCAGCACTCCCTACCACAGGTGCTGAGCCCTCAGCCCAGACCTCTCCCTATTCAAAGGGGGTGGGGGGGAGGCAGAGCGGTCTCAGGGCCCGGACACTGCCTGCTGCCCTCAGCTCTCAGCACTGCTCCCTCCCTCCGATGCAGGCTGCAGGACAGTGACGAGGACCCGCCTGGGGCATCTTCTCGCTCGGTAACTCCCCAGGCACTGGCGGAAAGGTGAGAGGCCTGCCAGAGATCAGTAGGGATCTGGGGCCTCTTCCTTCCTCCAACCCTGGGGTCAGAGCCTGTTCTGCTTCTTGGCCACCAAAATGGGAGGTACTTCAATTCCCATCGGGACTGACCAAGGCCAAGGTGGGGGAGTCAGCCAGCTGGGCCCCATCTACCACCTGGCCCCCTTGTCCTCTCCCCTTTGGCGCCCCCAACTAGTCTCCCTCCCCTTCAGGTTTGCAACAATGGACAATTTCTACCCCAAGGTCCTGCAGTACAGCGATAACAGAAGCTCGGGGTCTTCAGACAGCTTTTCCAAGACACGTGAGATGAGGGGTGGGGGCTGAGTGGAAAGGGGAGGCAGAGTGAACCCTCGGCAGCAGCCTGGTGGGAAAGCCAAGCCCTTACAATGGCCCACAGGCTCCAGTGATTTTGACAAGCACCGAAAGTCACACTATGATGAAGGAAAGTTCCTCAAAGCTCAGAGAAATCTTCCCTTCAGTAATAACAAGCACAACAACGAGGCCAGCACCAGTATGGGCCGTGGCAGTCGGGGCGCGATGCTGGACCCGGAGCCCAGGCCCGTGGAGAGAGGCTGGACGGGAGGACTGGCCAGAGGAGTCAAAGATGAGATTGGCCTGGTGACCAGGAACCACATCCCAGAAATCAAGGGTTAGCCATGGTGCTTGGGGGGAGGGGGGGGCAATGGGAGGTGAGCCCAGGGAAGACAGAGGGCAGCTGGGGTGGGGTCCTCAACACAACTGTCCTCAGGAAGCCCAAGAGAGGCGTGGGGGATGGAGAGGTCATTGGGGTTTCCTAACATGGAGGAGGGCGTAGAATGGACATGAGAACCCGGGGCCTGAGCTTCTCCCCTGTGCTGGGGGGGCCATTATGGACACCTGGGGATCCTGGATGCCCTAGGTGGCTGTAAGACTCAGAGTGATTGGGGTGACTCTTCAGATTCCCCTGTCTTCAGAAATCGGTCCCCACCTTCAGCCACCATCGTGTCGGACCAGGAGATTGATCTGCAACGCAAGGAGTATTACAGCAAAGGAAGGTACCTCAGGTGCTCTCCCCACCCGGAGCTCGAGGAGGACACGGAAGATGAGCCTGAGCAGCAGGACAGTGAGAGCTGGGCTGGGTCAGCCTGGGGCAGGGGGTGCTGACAACCAACAGAATGATGGGTGCCCCAACCTTGATCCCCTGATCCTTCCAGCCTCTGCAAATTTTAACTGGGTGATTGAGAATCCCATAAGCACTGAAGTCCGTCTGCTGGACCACACAGAAAGCCCCGTCCAGGATCCCCGGACCCCCGAAGAGTCCCTGGCAGGGACAACATCGCAGCCTGGTGAGGGCACCAGGCCGCAATGGCTGGCTCTGTGGCTCTTGGCCAGCTCCCATCCCCCCAACCCCCCTTCTTTGCATACCAGGGTAGATCACCAACAGATGCCAAGAGCGGCCCCAAGCATCCTGGTGTGCAAGGCCCTTATTGTACAGAGAGGAACCGGGGAGGCTCAGAAGGGGCTGGGACCCCCTCCAGCTTGGGACCACCCTCTGGCCCCACGCCTCCTCCCTGATTCCTCTCTGCCACCCACCCCACTCCAGGTGCTGCCCTGTCCTCCAGAGACAGAGCAGAGTCGGGCTGGTATCAGTGGCGGGTATCCAAGGGGCTCAACTGGCGAAGCCCAGAAAGCTTGGAGAAGGAACCTGGAAGCAGCCCACACTCCCCACACCAAAACCAATGCAGACGTGAGCCTGGGCAGGGGCGAGGGGCTGCCTGCGCTGGCCAGGGAGGGAGAGGGCCTGAGTGGGTAGGTTCTAGGGAGTTTCAGGGGGACATGGGCCAGATCTCCCACCTGTTACAAGAAAGCCAGTGACCCAGTCCTTTCTTCCTCCAGACAAAACCCTGTGGCTTCGATGGACTCAAGAAGAGGGAAGCAGACAATGGAAAATGTAGCCAGCTGGGGATGGGGTGGGGACCAGCCTCTCCCAGCCCTCACCGCCCTCGAGGTGGGCAATAAAGAGAAGTGCAGGAGTCTGGGTGCTCTGAATCGTTGGCGGAGGATGGGCCTGCTCAGTCACCGAGGACGGGGAGGAGGGAGGGACCTCTGCACACAGGAAACCACAGCGGGCAGAGCAGAGAAGAAAGCTTGCAGCAGCCTGGGGGACTGGACTCAGCAAGGGCCCTCCGAGGCCCAGAAGGCCCGGCTGCAGCAGGTGACAGCGACTGGCGTGGCTCCACCAACCCTAAATGTACCAGTAGCATCTTTCATTCTTCCAACCCTGGAGGTGGGGGCCGTCATCATGCCCACCTTCCAGATGAAGTACCTGAGGAATCCGTGAGCTTGCCCAGGGTTCCCATAATCTCTGAGAGACAGAATCAGGACTTGAGCCTATATCTGCCACTCCCCCTGCCCCCAAAGGAGAAAGAAGCAGAGGGACTAGGGCTCCCAGGAGGAAGGGGACAGCTGAGTCTCAGTGGGTGGGGCTGTGGCTTCTGGGCCTGGCCCCGCCTCTGCTCCTCCCAGCACTGCCAGCAAGTGTGGGGTGAGAGCTCCTCCTGGGACACCCCTTACCCTTCGGGAAGGAATCGAGCCCCCCCCCAGGCTCTTCCCCGGGAGAGGACCCCCTCCTCCTCCTCATCAACCCCTCCTGGGGCAGGGAGCACCTCCATCCGCACCCCCGCCCCCGTCTGGCCCCGAGACAGACAAGCTGAGATGACCATCAAGCTGGATTTCGAGGAGTGTCTCAAGGACTCACCCCGCTTCCGGTAAGTGTGCACAGGTCTGGGGGGCACAGGGTGTGAGGTCCGACCCCCCCGCTCCAACACACACACGCACACAGCACGCACACAACATACAACCTTCCCCAGGCCAGATGTCCTCCCGGGGAGTAAGTTCACAAAGGGGCAAGATCAAGCTTATGGGCCAGCACCTCTGCGATGCAACCCCGGGCTCTGATGCTCTCCACCCCCTTTCCCGGCAGAGGGGACTGCTCCAGCCCCTCTCACCCCCCCCGCCCCCCCAGCTGACACTCCCTTCTCCCGCTCCTGGGGACCCCTGCCCCTCCCCCAGCACCTGCTGGGGCGGTTAGCAACTTCCTGCCCTGACCACATCCACCCTCCTTTTACCCTTCCTGCTCGGGCCTGGGCCCTACTAGCTCCCAACCTGCGCAGAGGGAGGGAGCAGAAGAGGGTGGGTGGTCAGGTCCTCTTCACCCATCAGCTTTTGCTGTCTGTCCCCTTACCCGCTAACCCCAACCCCGACCCTCCTGGGGTGGGTGGACTGGATGGACCCAAGCTCTGTTCCTGTGACCCCATCCCTCTTTTCCCAGAGCCTCCATCGAGCTGGTGGAAGCCGAGGTGTCGGAGCTGGAGACCCGGCTGGAAAAGGTGACATGGAGAGGTGACCCAGGATGGCATTAAGATGAGAGGGGCAGGGCCAGGGAGAACATTGGAGACCCCGAATGAGTTCCAGGAGTTGTTGAATGCCAACCGTGTGGGGTGAATACTCTGAGGGCTAAGAGAAGGAAGTGGGGGCTCCGTACCCTCAAGGAGCACAGAGTCTTGGAAGACCAGACTCCCTGTGGGCTTCCTGGGTCAGCTATGAGCCCAGCCTTACGCTGGGCCCTGGGCCTCCAGGGACAGCAAGACGGTTCCGCCCCCAGGGAGCCCACAGACGGCCTTGGGGAGATAAACCAGTGAGACACTTAAACCCGAGACAGGAAGGCCCTCCCTGGCCACTCTTCATAAAATGTGCACACTCCCTGCCCCCCCTCGGCTTGATTTTTCTCTATAGCGTTCACCCCACTCTCACGTGGGATGTTTTTATTTGCTGCATTCGCGTTCTGCTGCCGTCTAAGGAGTTACTGCAAACATAGTGACTGAACCCAGCACACGCCTGTTAGCAGTGCGAGAGGCTCAGGAGGCGGGCGCTGCCCCGCTGGTCCTCTGCTCATGGGCTCAGGGGTTGCAGTCCCACCTGAGGCTCAGGGCTCCCCTCCAAGCTCGTGGGGGCGTTGGCAGACTCTCCAGCTCCTTGCTGTGGCAGCACTGAGACCCCCCACCTGCTCACGGCTGCCCACGGTCCCCTGCCGTGTGGCCCTGGGCAGCTTACTTCATGGCGGCTTGCTTCTTCAAGGCCCGCAGGAGGGTCTTTCTAGCGAGTCCTGCCAACGTGGAATCAGTTTACATCGAAACGCGGCTACAGGAGCCGTGTGGCTGTCCCCTCTGCCCCATGGCATGTCCCGCTGATCGTGGGAGCACCGTCTTGTGTCTTGTGGGCTTGGCCGTATTCTGTTGGGTAGGACCAAGTCACGTGTCTTACGCTGGGGAGGAGGGGTGATGCAAGGGAGGGGACCGTCCAGGGTCACCTGAGAGTGTGTCTGTCACACTTGCCAATTTTTGTTGTTTGTTTTTCCCCCGCTAGAACTTAAGTGCCATGAAGAACTTTTATGTTCTGTTTTTGCTCAATGCCCAGGGCCTATACCAAGTCTGAAAGTTAGCAGACGACCAATTAATAGATACATATTTTTCATATGAACATTTTTATTTTTTAAATTTATTTTTATTTTTTTTAAGATTTTTTTTTTAAGATTTTT